GAGTCCTTAAAATAACTACAGTGCAATGAAACAGACAACAGGCAAGAGGAGATAGACATCACCCGGCGATGGTGGAGTTAGAGGCTAAATAAGTTGATTGGCTTTCAGTTTTGCAAACTGCTGTCGCACATCTAGCAAGAAGGAAGGCAACTTGCAACAGCGCGACGGGGCAGTTGCATTTGCAATGGGTACTCAGCAGAAAGGCATTTACTTAGTTGCGAGTGCGCGTAATTAAGTTGAAATTAAAGTGCAAAGTTTGCTTTAAGTTGACGCCAGTCGCTGTTCTCCTTTCGCTGGCCCGCTCGCTGAACGCTAATTAGATCTTTTAGTTTCATTTAGTAAATCGCCGCGCCCCCTGGGCCCCTTGGGTGCCTAGCTGGTCATGTTCCATGCAAATGAATGAAATTAAAAGCACATTATACTTTATAATGCGCTCTGATTTGAGCCAGGCAAATTTAATTTAAAGATTTGCTGAGCCAAGTCGCTTATCATTGCCCCCAAACAAGCAGCCCCTCAATCCTCAAATTTAGTCAAATTGTATCTCATATATCAGAGCGAAATGCCAGCATGAGCGAGACAGCGACAGAGAGAGACAGAGGGAGAGAGAGAGAGAGAAGGAGAGCATATTTTATATAGACCCAGCATGTTCCTTTTTTCTATCTTGACTGTTGTCCCTGCTCGCATCCTATTTGAAGAGATAACCGCAGTGCCAAATTGCGGGCATAAGTGACTCTCGAAGGCACATAAATGCGGCAAATGTGGAATGGAATGGACCAAATTGATTGGGTGCCCCGGCATTGATCAAAGTCATAAGTCAGCGGCGGCGGCATACAAATCTCCATGTAAATATCCTTTTGCAGTTGAGTTGTCCTTTTTTGTGTGCGACCCAACACAGCACGTCTAAGCAACTGGATTATTAACATTTCAATATAATTTGTGGCTGTGCGGCATTCATATTTTGCTTGCTTTTTCCTGATGGTGGAGCGGAGCGGAGGGAGGGATCGGATGAGAGGTGATGGTAGGGGAAGGGATGCAAGGGTGAATTGGACCCAAACTGGGCACCGATTTACTTTTCTGCTGACGTTTGGGGAAAATTAACGCGCCTCAGGACTTTGATCCTTTTTTATATGCATACAAATACACATGGACACATACTCATTGTGTGTGTGTGTGTGTGTGTGTATGATATTAGTATGTATGGCAGCCCGCAGCGTGTTAGTCTTGTGTATTTGCTTACATATTCATCAATTTTTGGGGTTAAACTGTGGGCGGTTCGGGCATTGGTTTTTTTTTCTTTTTTTTTTTTTTTGTATTTGTAGCGTCCGCCGAAACGGTTCTGTCCAAAGCCCAAACCAAACCAAACCACGGGTCGTGCACGTTTTGCGGTTGTTAGCGTCAAATTGTTTGCTTATTTTGGGCTTTTATATGACAGCGGGCAGTCCCAGCAGTCGGTTGGCTGGCGGTTTTTTCGACTAGCCGCTAAACGCTTTTAGCTTTAATGCAGTGCCATTTAGTGGCCCTGAGTACATAATTGCCATTACGATTACGCATACGCCATGTGGTCAATGGACGGATGAAATCTGAAAATGATTTTCTATCATAGCACAAACAAAATATACGTAGCACAAATATTGTACCGTTAGCCAACTAAATCGATAACTCACATATGCAAAGTTGACACACATTTATCGAAATATGCACATACATTAATTGCTACACACGGTGGTCGGAGTTGAGTTGAGGTCGCTATCTAACTGAAGGACCGACTGCCTACTCCCAGACCTTATGCGGTTGCGGGTAATTAAGCGTTGCAGCTTATGTAAGACAAACAGGAAATAAGGTATAGCACAAACGCATAAATAACAACGGCAAATCAGCACACACACACACACAGAAACACACACGCACACTCAACGTCTCGACATATACAAAGGCAACACAAACAATGCAAACGGATAACATAAAATTTACAACAACTCCGACAAACGCCAACTAAGTAAAGCTCTAAAACACACACACACACACACATACACAATCCGAGCTTCCGCCCATGATGAAAAGGTAACTTGAAGAGGCGTGGCAGCCAAGTCGCACTACTGACACACTTACCAGTCAGCTACAAAGCTAACTGGCTGTATCCACTGGCTGTATCCAGTGTCCTGTTAGCGCTTTCAACTCGCGCGTCCTCTGCAAATATACAAAACACTTGTAACGGCCGTGTGCCTGTCTTGGATTTATAATTAATTTATGTGCACGTGTGCCGGCCTATCTATATGTATATATGTACGTATGTATGCCATTCCAAGCAGGGGCTGGTGGGACTATATCAGCGCTGCCGAAAACTTAATTAACTCATTACATACGCACAGTTTTAATCAGGCAAACGAGTTGACGAGCACAGCAAGAAAGAAATGTTGCCAGCCAGACCCTTGACATACCCCGACACCCGCCAAGCCAACAACAAAGTGGCTGGCAAAACGAGCTACCAATATCCGTAGAAGGAAAAGGACATCTCTGCCCTCTCCGCCAGTGCGAAGTAAATTTAAAGCGGCCTTTGACTGCAATTAGCGTTTACGTTTAACTGCTGTCTCTCTCACACACACACCATAAACCCCTGTGGTTACCCCTGCTCTCTCTCTTTCTCCCACTCTCGCTGTCGCAAGAGCAATAAGAACTTTGCTGTTTCGTTCCGGTTCATGAATATTACATTCCACCGGCTCCAATAAGCCAAGTCTGTCTGCCAACCAGTCAACCATCCAGGCAGCCCATCCAATGTGAACTCATTCGCATTCGCATTCGCATTCGCAAGTTGCGTGCATGCCTCAATTGTCATTTTGCCTTTTGAGTTGACAACAGCAACAACAACAGCAGCAGCAACAATAACAGCCACAGCAACAACAACAACAGCCACAGCAATAACAACGACACAATTGAGTCACAATCATGACAACTACTCGAGCTGTGAGTCACACACAGAGTTTGAGTCTGCTGCTAGTCGAGTCTTCAATTTTCAATCTGAGCCACTGAAAAAATGGCAAGTAGCTAAGCCATGCCACTGACTGCCTTCACAATGGGCTCATTAATGTTGGCGTATACGCAATTTCCAATTAAATAAAAATGTGCACACATCCACACACACACACACACACACACACACACACACACAGTTACAGTTACACATAACCCAGGAGCGATTTACTCGTTTTGGTTGGGTTTTAAAAAGCCAACATTGCAGCCTTTACAGCTCACACTGCGTATATGTATCTCTTTTGGTTGTTGTATTGCTGTCTCTTTCTGCTCATCGTCATCACAGTGATCATCGTCATCATCATGATGTGGCTGTGGCTCGGCACTGGCGAATTGCTTTTAATATTTATTTAACACAAAAGCTTTCCGCATTACGTTTCTGTTCTGCCGTTAATTTTTCGCTTTGCTTTTCATTTTCGCAAAATTACCGGAAATGTTAATTTCTGCACGTGCAGCAGACGACAACGACGACGACGATGACAAGGACACAGGACACAGGACATGCAGCAGTCTGTCGAGCTGGCAGTCAAAGCCGCGCCCATCAACGTCGCCAACATCGTCGTCGTCGTCGTCGTCGTCGTCGTCGTCATTCCCCAGTTGAATAGTGCTAATTATTTGGGGTAAGACTATAAGACTGCTTCTGTAAATGTGTGTGGGCTGTGTGTGTATGTGTGTATGTGTGTGGGGTGTATGTGTGTGAGTGACGACCCCCAAGAACCCATTGCGCTGGCCCTTAACCCAGTGCCACCCAAATAGCAGTAGTTGATGTTGCTTTTGTTGTTGCCCGCTTTGGTTGTACTCAGCCTTAGAGCTGCGAGCTAAGCTGACACAAAAGCGTACGAAGGACAACGGCAACCTCGTCCTGCTGCCACCTCTGCCGTCGACGTCGACTTCGACGGCAACGGCAATGGCAACGGCGACGACGACGACGACGACGACGACGTCGAGTGAAACGTTACGACTTTTTCTGTGCCAAAGAGACAAAGCACACAAAAATAATAATAAATGATTGCGTTTTCAGTGTGTGTGTATGTGTGTGTGTGTGTGTGTAGTTGTGTATGTCTTGTGTGCTTTCCTCGCATTTGGTGTGTGTGTGTGTGTGTGTGTGTGTGTGCATTGTGCATCTTGCTCTTTGCATTTGTATATGTGCAGCCAGCATGTCAGTGAAAGCCTTTGAATTTGTGCACTCACTGAATTCAGAAAACGTAAGTTACACACACATAAATACACACACACATATATGTATATGTAAATATATATTTGTGTATATATATACAAGCGCTGCATATGTCCCTCAACTGTGTGTACATTATGCAAGCCTGTCATTTGGCCTAATACAACACACGATTTGAAAGGTGTACGAGCAAGCCAAGTTTACTTGCAATTAGATTAGTTTAATTAGTCATAATGGTAGCACACACATACACACAAACACCGCAGCAATTAGGCTTTCCAAGTCAAGGAAACGGAAACTTCAGTTTCAATATATGTAAGTCGAGGCACCTTCGGAGAAATCGATATGATTCTCGCATTTAACAATACCACAAATCCCATTTAGCTAAAAGTTATTTCCCTTTTGTGTGATTTTTTTTTAATTGTATTAAAACCTATTTCGCTTCAATTTATTATTTGGCTTTGATAACATGTACATCATACCATCATCAGAGTCAGATTTATCGTCACAACTGAATTCCCAGAAATTTAAAATAATAAACTTTCTACAAATGTCAGTCATGTAATTATTAATTTGAACATATAAATTTATACAGCGAATATTTTCCAGGCATCTCATTCATCACTTAAAATATATAATGATTAAAAATACGAACAAAGGAAGAGAAAAATATTTTTTCTTTAATTCCAGAGTGCAGTTACTCGACATTTAAAATAAATAAAGTTTCTTTAACTTACTTTCCCTACTTGTGTGCTGAATGTGATTTATATATATATATATTCTGATTTTCTCTTTGCAGAACAATTCCACATTTTCGTGGGTGATTTAAGTTCAGAAATTGAAACTCAGCAATTGCGCGAGGCATTCACACCATTTGGCGAAATTTCGTAAGTATTAAAATGCAAATTTCTTCTTTTCATTCGTTAACTTTCCACTTTGGCATTCATCGTACTTGCCCACCTACGTACAGGAGTGGGGGTGACCATGGGGCATGATGTATTCGCATTTGACTGTCGCGCTGATTATTGGCTGGCGCATGTGATGCGGTGCAGCCCCACACACTAAGCCGCTTGGTGGCTCACATAAAAAATTCATAACCGCGCGAAAAGTACATTTATGTAAATTTCACTTAAGCAAACTCTTTTGGCAGCCACTGTGCTCTTTTCCACCACCAGCCTGCCTGCCTGCTACTTAAAGTAAACAGAAAGTGTCGCTTCGGTTAAATTGTTCTGCATTTAAAACAGCAACAGAGAGAATATCAAATATTTAAGTTACTATTTTTCGGCATGGAAAGATCCAAGCGACTAAAGCTGATGGTCAACAAGAGCAACAGCAACAGTAACAGCCAAGAAATCAAAAGCAGTTGTAAACTTGACTTAATTAACTGCTTTTCAAGCGCAAAGTTTTGGCTCAAATAGCTGACAGAGGCTCTGTGGCATGTCCTGCCCGCCGGCGACTTATACAAAATGTTGGTAAAAGTATTTGATTTTTGGATTACGCGCTTGTTTGTTTCATCAATGTGCGCCCAAAACCAAAACCGAAACCAACCCAAACACCCACAAATTGCCATTGCCACCCATTATGGGAAGTAATTTCGAATGTTAATAATTTGAAACTCATTAAAATGATTAGAACTTTGATTTGGCCGGGAGACTATCAACCATTAGTCGACCACTTTGACCTGCTAATGAGCGGCGTATGTCCTTTCATTAGCGCCGCCAATGGTTGCCATGGCGACACATAAAAGTAAAGTTCGACTCGCACCACAAATGATAGCCATGCCCAAAAATAAATCACCTCAGCTGAATTCGCATATATCGATGACAACGTGTTTAAGCCGCCGCTTTGACGCCTTATTGAGCAGTCGATTGGCACCTCAGCGATATCATTATCATTGACATGTACATACATACAAATATACATATATATATATATATATTAGGGAAGAAGAACGGTTCAGGCAAACGGAAACGTTAGGAATCCACGTCGCATCCTGATTATCTCGGTCTGAGCCTCTGTCTGGTGGCAGCTGGGACTTAAATAACTTTCTTTTCATACTCTGCTGGCATTTGTCGTGGCATTTGCCGAGTTCTGAGTTGGTAGCCAACATGTCAAAACGCTTAATGCAAACAGCTCAGACGAACTTGGATACAGATATACCGTATCCGATACGGACTCGGTCGTGCGACGCTTTGGGATCAGACGCCTCCGCTTTTCTTTTTTCTTCTTTTCTTCTTCTTAACGCGGGGCCAACGACTTTTTTGTCAAAAGTTTTATGCGTGCGTCGTTGTTTGCCCTTTTTTTTTGTTTTTCCATTTTTTTTTGTTTTTTTTTTTGGTTTTCTTGAGGTTTTAGTATCATTTTGTTGATGTTGCCTGGTTGTGGCATTATGTTTGGAGACCCTGGCGCATTTCTGTTTCCGTTTTGTTAAATGCGCGGCGCGTGTGAATATTTAATAAGCCGTCTACCCGCCCATTCGCCCACTCGCCGCTCTGCTTGACGACGCGTCGCCTCTGCCGCCAGTTTACTTATAATAATCATAAAAAGTTGCCGGCCAACGTTGCCAACGTCTTTGCTGGCACTGTGTTAACTAAACGGCCAGATCGGGGGGTAATTGCCAAACTTTGCTGGCAGCTCTGTTTAGTTTTTGCCCTGGCAGCACCAAGAATTTTTGGACTCTCTTTGCTGTATTGCTGTGGGAAATCAATTTGAAACGCCATAGCCGAGCAATCAGCTAAATCGCTCTTAAAGTGCTGAGAGCGGAAACCGTCGTATTCATACATATTTTCATTTTTAAAATATATAAGTTTGATGTATTTATTGTTTGCTTCTCATGTCATGTCCAGCGACGCCGACGCTCAAAGTCAACTTAACTGCAAAACAAATAAAAAGTTTTCTGGCTGAGGTTAGGTTTCTAATTTCCGAAATCCATCAGACCACACTTGAACAGGCACTCTTGTCTGGCTGCATAAAATTATTATATATATATAGGTTTATAAATACTTTTGAGCTCTCGCTGAGGATTGTGGACAATCTTAAAGTAGTTGCTCAATAATAATGATTAATATTATTTCTCTGTTTCTCTCTCTTTTAGGGATTGCCGTGTGGTGCGCGATCCGCAAACCTTGAAATCAAAGGGATATGGCTTTGTGTCCTTCATCAAGAAATCGGTAAGCACTGCACCCACATTTAAATGCATTCTCATGCTTATAGCTTATTATCTATATATATATTATTCTCGTGTTCTCCCTACTTTCTCTCTATCGCACCACAGGAAGCTGAGAGCGCCATTACGGCCATGAATGGCCAGTGGCTTGGCTCGCGCTCAATTCGCACGAATTGGGCCACACGGAAACCGCCGGCGAGTAAAGGTAAGGAAATCATGACTGTCACCTGGCTGGGCCCCAAGCTTCCGGCCATGCGTACGAGTATGCGTGCAGCAAGCAGTCAGGTCAGCCAGGTCAGCGAGCCAGGTGCCTTTGCTCTTGTCATTGTTATTGCTGTTGTTGTTGTTGTTCTTCTTGTTGTTGCTGTTGTCGACGCTTCGCTGTTATTACAGGAAATGATGGCAATGAATGCCAAAGGTATCTCTGTGGCATAACACAGGGCCACAGCTAAAAGTAGTAGCAAAGCCAACCGACCGAGGGGTCGTTTTCGGTTTCAACTGCTATTTATAAACGTGTCGCAGCAAATTTTCTGCCAGATTATGTTTTCTTTATTATTTTGCTGCTGTAAAAACCGAACGCGCTTAATTTCCGTAATGGGTTTGTCTCCAACAAAAAATTTTGGTTTAAACTTTTTCAATTAGTTGACTGCCTAAAGGTCGACATAAAATAAATGTAATGCGACATATTCTATTAGGCGCAACGAATCAATTCTCATTTATTGCCCTTCTTAACTCCCAAATTGATAGTCGGTAGTCAGTCCGGCGTAACCACAGAACTAGCTGTAATCATTATAAACAGTTGGCAAACGGGGCGAATCGGGAGCGAATTGCTGTTGTCTTTCATAAATCAAAACTTAACGCGTATTTGCATGTTTTAACATAATTTTTATTTGTTTCACACACACACACATACAGTCTAAGAGCGAAAGAGAGAGAGAGAGAGAGAGAGAGAGACGGAGTACGAGAGGAAGAGGTCGCAAATCAGATAAATAAATTTTTCCAACACGAAACTATTATCATAAAAGGCACACACACACACACACACAGAGAGAGAAACAGGATAGCAAAATTTCATGGTTATAGAACAAACATTTGGAATTCTTTTGAATACCCACACACACACACACACACAAACACACACAGATACAGAGTCAAGGTGGAGTTTATCGTGCGAAGGAAGGTCTGACATGTTGAAGGGTTCCCATTTTTTGGGCCAGCAACAACTATGAGCATGAATTTTTGCTTTTGCATTTATATTGTTGTCATAAAAAACGCCTATGAAAGCCTAAGCGGATTTTTATTGGTCTCATTGTTTATTTGCCTTTGTCACGGCTTTGTCTGCTCCAGTCCAGTGGATGTGGGTAGTGGTTAGCTGTGGTAGTTGTAGTTGTAATACAAGTTATTATTAGCAATTTGGCTGCGAAATAATTTGGATATTTTGATGGCTGAGTAACTGGAGTATTAGCTGACTCAGCAGCAAACGACCCAAAATCGAAGACGCTGCCAAAGATTTTACACAATTACGAGTAGTCGTTTAGTCGACGCTCCAAAGGGTTTTCCTATGGTGGGCTTACGCATGCGTGTGTATGGGTGTGTGTATGGGTGTGTATGGGTGTGTGTGTGTGTGTGTTGGAATAGGTTGAGTACTTTATGGCCTTGTCTAGTTGTTAGGGGCGCCTGCTGGCAGCCTTTACGATTTGTAGCACTCAACTCATTTCGCATTTCACATTTCACATCTAGCATTTCACATTTCGCATTTGGGATTTGGCATTACTTGATGTTTTACGCTGCCACTTTCCCGCTGTGCGGATGCTTTTGGCCAGGCTTGTACTGGCATTTTTATGTTTTAAGCAGGCTGCACATTTTATGGCCTTGGCAATCAGTCCACAGTAACAGCATTTAGTGAGCCACTCGCCTGCCACTACATGTATGCATGTGTGTGTGTGTGTGTGTGTGTGTGTCGCCTCCTTTTGTCGGAAAGATTTACGAGCCGACGCAATTGCGCATTTTACAGTTGTGACAATTTTGGCGTCGCTTTGCAATTTTCTAGTCGTCTTTTTTGTTGTTGTTGTTGTTGTTTTTCATTTTTTTTCTTTTGAGTTCAGGGCTTATAACAAACGCATTTGGCATTTTATATTGTCGTAAGCAGCTCATGGCAAAAAGTTTTGTCAAAGTTGGGCCTTTGTTAACCGGTTAAGGCCTAGACTCAATTTCAATGCATGCCATAAATAAAGGCAAAAATACTTTCAAGCTCATTATGGTAATAACTTAATTAACCTGAAACAATATGCCGGTAAAACAAAGCCGACGACAAAGTCGACGTCGACGATGTTGTATGACAAATTTCTGTGCCAAAACTATTTGACTTCTGACTGTTCTACAAACGCAAAGTACCGAATATCAAGTGGGTTTGGATGCGATGTTGGTTGGGGGCTGTTTGTGGGGAGGGAGCAAAAGCTTGAAGAAAATTATTTAGTGCTGTTCGCGTGGGCTGCCTACTTACCTGGCAGTCGTAGTTGTCGCAATAAATCAACATTTTATGCAGAGTTGCGCACAATTAAGTAAAAGTTGAAATGCCTCAATGCGCTGCCCAAGCACTGCTGACTGTTTTTGTAATTGTATACAGGAAAAGTTCCAACTACTTCTAAATTATGTGCTGCGGCCTATGCACATACATTTTACATACCTGTACTTAAGGTAAATTAAACAATATGGCTATGGCAATGATTACGATTTTCTATACAGTCAGCTGAATTTCTAAAAGGGTACATTAAGAAAATATTTTCGAAATACGATAAGTGATTCTGTCTTTTGTATGAAGTAATTATTGACTGGTTTACAAAAATACTGATACTTTAAAGTGTGAGAACAAATTGGAATAGAAATCTGAAGTAAGCAACCAACTACATAAAAATTGTCACATTATATTATATTAATTGTTTTTGATTTGTTTTTAGTGAACAATATTGTCTTGACATTGATGGACATATTTCAAGACGATAATAATAATTAAAAATAATAATATAATAAATATAGTAAATATATAATATGATTTAAGACACTATTTTTGAGTTGAGCTGAGATGTGAACTGAATTTAGATAAGTCTTTAAGGAACACAATCACATTAATTAATAGGCTCGATAAAATTAATTTGTTTTTTGGTTGACAAAGCCTCAAAACTAAAATGTACACGCCCCTGGGCGCAGTGCCTCATACATATTAATTAGTTGAAAATGGATTCCACAAAATACATTAAATTTATCGCGCTTTTGTTGTATGCAATTGTTTTTGAGTGCTACATATGTATATGGGCTTTAATTATTTACACTTATAATTGGGTGATTAATTCATCATTAAGTTGTACATGCCAGTAATTGATCATTAAAATTTCAGCGCTAGACGTTAAAAGAGAGAACAAGATGTGAACTCTGTGTATGTGTGAGAGAGAGAAAGCCGGAAAGAGAGACAGAGAGAAATAGACAGTTGGTCGCCCTATTTATTATTTATGTAGGCTGCCCGCGGGCCAGAGGCTATATAGTTTTAACGTGATAATTATGACCACTCATGCAGTCAAAGGTACAGCCAACTACGAAGCCGAGCACTTTAATTTGGAGCAGACATGAAATGAAATGTGGCAAGGGGCAGGCGGGGAGCTGAACAACGGCACAACAACAACCACAACAACAACAACAACGATAACGGCAAATCACCTCAAGGCTAAGCATGTTGAAAAATGTGTTTGTGTGGGTGTCGCGTCCGTTTGCGCAATTCACAACATACATACATACATACATACATACATACATACATACATACATAAATACATCCATAGCAACAAACATACATATCCAAAATTAATTACACGTATTTAAAAGTGTAGAAAATAAAAAAATAAAGTCAAGCAAATGAAACGAAGGCACAGGCATAAGGCAAAGTGCAAATTAGTGAAACACAGTGCTGGAAAATCTGCAATGCCGACGGAAAGTACGTGAGGGCATGCACACACACACACACACACACACACACAAACACACACATACACACATGTGTGCGTGTGTGTGTGTGTGCCAGAGTGAGTAGCAAGGCGAATACATTTGTGGCAAAGCTTTCAAAAATATTTGCTAGCTTGTTAGTTTATTCAGTGCACCCTCGCTAAAGCCTTTGATTGTTGTTCTTGTGCTAGTTGTGTGTATGTATGTGTGTGTGTGTATGTGTGTGTGTGTGTGTGTGTGTGCTTGTGTAAGGGAATTGTCCTGTTGCATGTTATTGAGCCATATTTTCGTTTGTTGTTGTTTGACATGCTCGTTGCACAGCCTAAAGTTCCAAGAAAGGGACAGGCTGTAACCGAAAGAGATGCACATACAACGTGCGAGTGCGACTGCGAGTGCGAGGCAGACAGCTAGAGCTAGATCTGGAGCGGTGGGGTGCAAAGGCAGTTTATTGAAGGGGTGAAATTGCAGCTTTGCAGGGAACGATGTGGCTAATATTATTGCCACAGATGCCCTACACCTGAGCACATTAATTGATGGAATTATTGTTGAAGAATTGATATGCGTGCGCTAAGCATAGTTATACATAATTAAATTAATGCTTTTCAGAGGAAATCTACATTTACATACAAAATTGCTCCTTACAATTATTTGAATAAATCTGGGCAATTGAGCTTTTTAAGAGCTCGACTTAAGGCTATTACGACTTTCAGATTAGAAATCTATTGGCTGGCATGAAATTCGTTAATAAAACTCATAAGCTTGCCAAGGAACTTTGATTACAGCGGCAGCAGTAAGTGGCGCCCAGTGCTTGTAAATTGTTGAAAACTAAACAAAGACATAAACACGCAAGCCTGTCATTATTTTTAAAAGTGCAAATTTTGTTTTAACCTCAAAGGAAGTAATTAGTGAAATAAATACATATACTAATGCCATATACCAAACGAACTAAAGGCAACAACAGCACAACAGCAACAATGGAAAACTACAATATGGTGGACAAGGTGGGTTGCCAGCAGCAGACAGCAGACTTGAAAGGGAGGTGGTGGTCATTTCTTATGGAAACACGTTGAATGCATATACTCAAAAATTAAGTTTAATAATAAATGCAATATGATGTGTAACCATTTTTAAAAATGCAGCAAACACGATCGAGCCAACGGTGAATTCTCTCGCACATACACACAACCATGCACAATATTTTGACTAAGTGTATTTTAATTACCAAAACCGTGGGCAACCACCGTTGTAGTCGTTGCTGCTGTGGGAAAACCCATTAATTAATTTACATATTAATCATGCAGTTTGTTGAAAACAGTAAAAAAAAACATTAAAATTAATATACGAAGCAGGCATAAAACCTGCAGTCATTAATTGCGGCTTGGAGGCCAAAGTGTGGCATATAACAATGTATTTGCCCCGTTGAATTTCGTAACCAATTTGTGGTCTTATTTTTTTTTGCCACCCATAGAAAACATCAAGCCGTTGACTTTCGATGAGGTCTACAACCAGAGCAGTCCCTCCAATTGCACCGTTTATGTGGGCGGGGTCAACAGCGCCCTCACCGCACTCAGCGAGGAGATTTTGCAGAAAACATTTGCACTCTATGGCGCGATACAGGAAATTCGCGTCTTCAAGGATAAGGGCTACGCATTTGTGCGGTAAGCTGCAACATAAAAACTTTATTTTTATTTTCATTTCTTTTATTTTTGTTATTTACTGATGTTTTTTTCCAAATTCTAGAAGCATGAGCTTATTATTTCAAGCCCGTAGTCATCTAAATAAACAATGGATATTGATAAAATATGAATATTAATTACTAAATTAATTACTTAGGGAGCAAGTTAATTTTGAATAATTTGAAATATGAATAGTAATATTAAAAAATGTTTGTATATTAGCCCTTTTTACAAAAAAGAAAGCAGCCAAAAATATCCCAATTGCTATTGTGTCATTTATCGACAATGTTGCCTATCGGTGCTGAGAGGATTAATATTCTTATAATCATTTTCAAGCCTTACATAAATTTAAAATTAAATATAAAATTTTTTGACGAGCAAGTTGATGCCAGATGCGAATGAATTAATTAATTGCCAGAGCGTAACTCATTTGCCACATGTAAATTTGACTTGCTTGCAGCTTCTCCACCAAGGAGGCCGCCACTCATGCCATCGTCGGCGTGCACAACACCGAAATCAATGCACAGCCTGTGAAGTGCTCCTGGGGCAAGGAGAGCGGCGATCCCAACAACTCCCAGACTATGGCCAGCCAGGCATTGAATAGCGCTGCTGCCGCTGCTGCCGGTTTTCCGTACGGCGTTAGTGCTGCCGCAGCCGCAGCTGCCGCATATGGTCAGCAGCTGGCAGCCACTGGGTGCTGGTATTCACCGACGCCCACTTATCCGACCTCGTCGGCCCCCACCGCCGCTGTGACACCGGCTGCAGCGGCGGCCAGCGCTGCAGCTGTGCAGAATCAGTTCCTGCAGGGCATCCAGGGCTACCACTTCAGTCAGTATGGAGGCTATCAGCAGGGCTACATGGGGTATGTAAGCACGGTGTTAGTGCTATCGATTTATGCTTAATTATTTCATTAGCTGATGTGCCTGCGTTTGCGTTTACCATGCTCTCTGCCATTGCCACTACCACTGCTACTGTTACTGCCACTCCCACTGCCTCATTCGTGGGTGGCACTCTATACAAAATGATTGAACCGCCACCGGGGATGGGCAGCGACAGCATGACGGATGAGTGAATTCATTTGCTAATTGCTAAAGTTTTCATTTGCGACGCCGACGTCATACAGTAGTACTACTACCTGGCATATACCATATGGCATACATTGCAAACATGCTCGACTCGGCTGTCAGCATACGGCTTGTTGGCACCGTAAGCGCATTTACCGTAGTCGTACTCGCTGTTGTCGCATACGGCAGACTCAGGGGAGACGAGCGCAGGCAGATCTCGAAATATGTGTGTTTCTATTGGCGTCACCGACTCTTGTCTGATGAAGCTCGTTGTGCATGTTTTTGTTTGTATATATATTGCAGCATGGGCGTACAGATACCAGCCACTTGGCAAGGCGTCACCCAGGCCCAGATCTCGCCGGCACAGCAATTGGCAACGGGCGTCGCCGGCACTGCTATACCACAGGCCGCCGGTGTGGTTGCCTATCCGATACAGCAGTTCCAAGTCAGCCCACAGGTATGTCATGACTAACTAACTCATAAGAATACATACACATATATACACACACACACACACACACACACAAACACATAAACATATGTACATATTTATTCGAATGTCGCACATTTCTAGTATGTTCGAATGAATGTTTTGAATGCATTCACAATTTGATTCGTTCGCTTCGATTGATTTAGTTCGTTCACATCCATGTTTTCTGATTAGTAGCGGATTTATATATTTTCAAATTTATACATTTTCTGTTGTCTATTGTTGCCTGGCCTGTGAGTTTTCACCTTGCGCATGAAGTGGTGGAATTTATCTCCAACAATTGCAAATTCAAGAAAAATAATATAAAGCAAAAATACAGCGAAAATAAACATATTTAAGTTAATTTATAAAATACACTGCTTATATAATTACGGTTAAATGAAAAAGTTTATATATGTATATGCGTAAATAAAAAAATACAATAAATTATGTTGAATAATAATAATAATAAAATATTCAACGTAATCCAATATACGGGCAGCAATCGCAACATATTCTATTAACTTAACCATTTTCTATGCTTCAACGTAAAAAAGAAACCACTTTTATATTCTCCCTCCATTTTAAAAATTTATATTTGTGCACTTTCGCGCACTTAATCCTTGAAAGCATGTGCTTTGAATGTGTTCATGCACTACAAATATTGTTAGAATTATTTTAAAGTTTTTTTTTTTTTTAATTATTTGTAAGCTTTTGCATTTGCTTAACTCTCACATAGATTAAATAGCAAATCAATTATGTTTTTTGCACAACAGAAAAGTGTTGTTGGAACAAACCATAAACACAATGTTGCATCATGTTTTCTCTGCATTATAAATCATTTTATTCCTACTTCTATTTTTTTCCAACTTTTTACTAACACCCATATTATTTTTTAAGGTTTATCCTTTACTTTTGCAGGCACAGTAAGCAACAATATAAAACAAAAACGAAACAAAAAAAATCCAAATTTTTTAAGTACAGCAGAAGTTCTGAACAGAAACAAAACCAAAATCAGCTGTAAATAAATGCGATGCGCCGAAAAATTAACAATTGACGTCAGCTTGGCGTCCAACGAATGTTGAGTGCTGCACCAAAACCCAAAAGTAGAATCACAACAAAAATTATGCTAAAGCACACAAAAAACATTTACAATTGTTTATGCTACATTTAGTCCATAAACAGTTGTAAGCGGTCCTTGAATAAGCCTTAAAAGCAAAAAAAAAAAAAAACATAAAAGTAAAAAATAAATAAAAATTAAAAGTAAAATTTAAATTTAAAAATTTCAAAGTTGCTTATAACATACAAAGACAGATCGCAACACATCCCACATACATATACAAATTTATGCTTTATATAAATGTTTTAAGCATGCTGCGTATATAAAGAATTATAATTAATTGATCAAAATATGAAGAAAATCAAAAAAAAAAAAAAAAAATGAAGAAAGAAAATACAAATAAAATATATTGCGTACATAAGTAAAAAGCAATTTGGTGAAAAAGGGATAAACATAAATTAGGTATGCTGTTTTCTGTGTGTATTTGTGCAAAGCAGCCCACACACACTTAACCACCACACTCATACACATACACATACACATACGTACAGTTACATACTCAAGCGTGGAATTAAATAAAAATAAACATAATTAAAAGTGCGTTAAAATTAATTTCGCGCACACAGATACAGACACGTACACGTACACACACTTTTATTTAGCCAAATTTATATGACTGTATGTGCTCTGACACGCGTACAGACATAACAGACCCAGACGTCCCCAAGAGCCCCTTAGCACACTCTCCCACCCACACACACACACTCACACACACACATATAACAGTAATTGTACTCGTACTCGCATATTATTTAGCATTGTCTTCTTTTGTGCGCAGCTTTCAATAGTCGCCTAGCAGCATATACCACACACACACACACACACACACATGTACTTTTACACTATAAGACTATTTAATATCAGAATGATAATACACATAGCACTAGTGCCTATTACTATCGTAGATCTAGATGAGAACGCCATCACATTGCGATGTGAGTCTCACACACACCCACTCCCACACACACACTCTGACACACACACACACAACCTACAAACACTAGACTACTGCCAAGCCTAGCCAAACTATTGGCAAACTCGACATTTCCTGCTATCATTTTCCTAAAGTCTGCAACAAAATGTTACAAAGAATTGTAAGCCCATTGCAAGCCACATACTAGTTAACGCACTAATGCTCAAATAACTATATAGAACTTTATTTTGTGATTGCTCAGTAATTGAAAGACATGTTCCTACATACAGCTACATACTTAATACACACATGCATACATACAGACAGCCCTACCATACACAAATACAGCCACAAGCACTCGCAGTTAATGGTATCTGAAAGAACATATGACATATTCGTAACTATTTATTAAATGCTGTTGTCAAGCACAACAGAGTCCAATGCAATCCAGCCACAAGCTAATCTCAAACTTGAACTCGAAATTTGAACTCGATGTAAATGACATGAAGCTTAAGTTTATCTGTCTCACAGGCTTTGTAATTAATAGCAGCAAAGATAAACACCTATTTCTTTTTTCTTGTATATTTTTACTCAGTTTGCAATAATTTCATAATGGTTATGATTTCATGAGTTCACTCGATTTGCAAAATTCTTCAAAAGACATGTACAAAGCAACATTACCCAATTCTCACATAAATATTTTGACTTCCTTTCGAACTATTATTATATTAAATTTTTATACTAAATAAACGTATAAAACGTGTATGTTTTTATTTCAGTTGCAGGAAGATGAATGGTTAGCTGCAAATTTATTGTGTTAGAACAAGCAAGACAAGATCCGAATTATGTAAAAATATATATACATATAGTTAATACCCAGCTGTTCCACAAGTCCCTTCAACTTGTCATTTGCTATATTCAGGAGTAAAGTATCTACATCCACAAATCAATATTTGTTGTGCTCAGTTCAAAAATACATTCATGTTAAATGTCATATCGCTTCGTCGCTTTGTTCGTTGGAGTTTTTATACATATTTTATAGCCATACAAATGAGTATTAAAAACAAACAAACAAACAACGAGTGTAAAAGATTTGTGGAATGTTTGGGGAACAGAGATTAGCAAACACTAGAGGAAACGCCAATACACAAGTACATGCATATACTAATATACTCGTACATATAATGAATACAATCAAAATATGCCATCGAATGATATTAATTGATATTAGCCATAATAAATGCAAAGCCATAATAAAATACATATACATATAGCAATTAAATGAGCGCATATCCAATTCGCTTTACCAAAACAACTAAAAATACTATAATGCAAATTCCGAAGGTCCTGTTTAATTTTATGCATGTCCAACAAACAACAAAAACAACAACAAATAACAAACAGCAATTAGCGCATACCACACAAAACAGTCAGAGAGACATAAAGGGAAATAGTTAGTGAAATTTGTTCACATACCCCCCTCCAGATTATACTATAATTGAGATGCAAATATTCAGACACACTCATACGAGCATACTCTCATATAGAACAAATAGAATTTTCGAAGTACACACTAGCTGAGTCATTATAGGGCTCTACGTACTATCATCTCCATATGGCTCTCCGTCTGAGTGTGTGTTCGTCTGGCAGGCCAATGGAAATCGCAGTTCAGCAAATGTCAAACATGAGTTAGTTATAACAGAAACACTCACGCACACACACACACACACACACAAGCATACACACACAGAGACACACACTGACACATACAAGAAGACATAAACATAAAAGTGAATTAGAAATATAATGGTTTATATAGTAAGTATTAAGAGAAAAAAGAAGATAGAAAACATGCTTATATAACGTACATCAATACATCAACATATTTAGAAATATACATACACATATAGCATAGTAAATATACATGCATCTATGCCATATATGTAATCTAGTATAAATCTATATATATATATATATATATATATATATACAATTATATATATATATAAACAGGCACATGGAAAATAATGTTTATGTAAGTGTTCTACGTATATTTACGCATACAGACATATACATGTACATATGTGCGAGTATGTCTTGGATGATAAATCACAAATAATTGTTCAAAATGAAAACCAATTAAAATGAAAAAAAAAAAAAAAAAAACAAAAAACAAAACAAAAATTCAACCAGAGAACATGTAATAGGTCGTGTGTAGTACGAGTACGTATCGAGCAATTTAACTAAAAATCATTTCAGTCAGAATGTGCTATTTAAGGGGCTCCAGGTGGAGATCGGGGGTTTCGATTTGCATATTGCGCGTTTTATCTCCATCTTTTTGGCTTATTGTTTTTTTTTTGTGTTTTCATATTTTTTTTTATTAATTTTTTATGTGTGGGCATTTTATATATTTTATATACACACAAGCAAATTTAGTTGCAATTTTGCACATGGGCGATATGTGCAATAAAAGTATTTAGGGTTATAGGGGCAAGTAGTACTATAGTTCAAATACATAATTGAATGTTGTGCATGCATGTCTATAGCTAACCGAGCTCACATACGCAGCATCGCTGATTATAACCTTAACCTAACCTAATCGAACCATGACACAGACATATTAGCCTAAGAAACTAGCGAGTTGTAATGTATATTAAGATTAAGATGTTTTTAGCACTAGAACTTACAGAGTAGTTGGACTATGAGAGGCAATGCATGTTTCAACATGATAGGACACGAAATAGATGTAGATGTGATTTTAAACAAGAGGCAAAACCGGGCGATCCATTTTCAAAGATTATAGCTGATGCGATAATTGCATTTTTGTGTTGTTATTTTGTTTATGAAAAAAAAAATACATAAATATAAAAATAAGAAAAAAAAAGGATTTTTGTTAAGGAAACGATAACTTAGGCAGATAAAAATTTAAAACATTGTTGACCAAACCAATAAAGAAAAGTTAATGAAATTTGGCTATAAAAATCAGCACATTTATGAAAGCAAACTTTATATTTAAAACGAAACAAAATACTATACAGAAAAAGATAACAGATTATATACAACTATTATTGGTTTGTTTGTTAATGTTTGCGCAACATATCAGTAAAGAGTTAAACGAGTAGTTTCCATATAGAAGCTAACCCAGAGTTGGAAACTAAATCTATAATGATATATAAATATTAAGATATAGTAAAGTAATATAAATATAAATATAAAAAAAATATTAAAGAAAACTAAAACAAAAAAATCGAAAAAAAAAGTATTAATGTTGTGCAACTATTGAATGTGCTAAGACATTTATATACGTCTACATATATATACAAATACTAATTATTTATATATATACAGTAAAGACAACAACCACAAAACAAAACAAAATGACAGCATATTTATAGGCATATATACGAAGAATTACAAATAAGGTTAACCAAAGCAGGAGGCCAACCGATTGAGGGGTTTATTGTATGCATTAAGTGAGTACATTGGACAAGGTAATTGACCACTAAATTACTAAGTACTCATTCAATTGATGTTTGTAATACTCCCTTATAATTTTACAGTTTACTCAGTCTTTTTTTGTTTTCTGTTTTTCAACAATACAAAATATGTGTTATAAGTATCTTGGTGATTTTCTCACTGGGACGAAATAATTTCATAGCTCAATTGATATATATATATATATCTGTAAATTTATAATTTGTTTATATTTGGGTCTCATTTATCATTAACATTAAAATTAAAGTGTTTCTAGTTTTGGACAATGTGGAAAGGGAATAGCAAAACGAAGAGAGATACAAAACCAATTGTAGATTATAATTAGAAACTGCAATTACAATTTAGTCAATTTGGTGTGTAATTATTGAAAAGCAGAAGCTGGAGCATTAGCAAAATTTTAGAACACAGACACACTCAAAAACAAACAAACAAGCAGACAAACATGGATGAAGATTGGGCCAAGGGTCAGTCTGTAGTTAAGGCACGTAGCATAAATTAAATTAAATGAAATGAAAATGAAATCAAATTAAAACAAAGCAAAAACCGAAAATCAATCAAATAAAAGTATTATTTAAGCAACAATACAATACGAGTATAAATAATTACATAGCATATATTTACATAGAGCAGTACTCAAATTCAAACCGACACCCAAAACAAACCCCAAAACCAAACCAACCACATTGAGGCGGTTTATTTGTTAGCTAACAAGAAACCAATGAGCGCAACATAAATTACATTCATTGTAACAGGAAAACTTATGAATAAATGTACTTTTTTTTGGGATTTTGTTTTGTCGAATGCCTATAAAACACAGTCTGTTGTCTAACAACAATTAACAGATTCATAAGACAACCACTGGCAAAGTTAATTCAAGAAGAAATCATTGGGACGGTCAGCGGAATGTTATGTGTCGTCTCATATGCTAAGGTATACACAAACATATGAGATTAATTATTTATATATATTAATGAATAAACCATCCCCAAAATATTTAACGTTAAACTAGTAAACTAAATATATAATAGCAATGTAAGTAAAGCTAGAAAAAAACCCTTCAATAGTACATACATACAGAGCCAGCGAGAGAAGATTTGAACCAGTTGCGAAATGCATTCGAATGAAACGATCCATAATATTTTTGTGCAATATTCCAGAGGGCGTTAGCATGCATTTTATGCATTTAAAATCATAGTAAGATTGTAAACACAATGCAAATATAGAAGAAATCAAACGATGAGCAAATAACCAAAAACTGCTAATAAAAAAATACAAAAAAAAAAATTACAAAACATGCATAGTAGGTTTTGGAAAGCATCATACTACAAAGACACAGATAATCTGTGCACAGGAAAAAATCATAAAACAACACACACGCACAAACACTTACACACACACAACCATTCACACACACACACACACACACGAAGTAAGAAATAAAATATAGTAAATGTATGTGTAGACTATATATATGCATATATACATATATGTATTAACACATAAAATATGTTAAGTAAATAGAAAATAAAGTAAACAAAAAATAGATATCGACTGCAGTACTGCAAATATTTTGTAGAAATTTAAGAATGTTTGAGTGTGTTTGAGGACAAGGATTAGAGACACACACATAAAACCAAAAAGCAAACAGGAAAAATATGAAGCAAAAATGAAGCAAAACGTAAGTGGAAACCAAACAAAATGAAAACCAAACAAAATAAATGAAATCAAATTCATAAGCTATGTTTTAAATATACAAAAACAAAAACAAAAACAAAAACAAAAACAATATATAATATATACAATTATGTGTATGTATATACATAACATAAATACAAATATGACATTAAACATAGACATCACACATATACAGTCACATCTATACAAATGGCGTTTGCATAAGAAATCACATGTGAAACAACGTAACGAATATTAAAAGGTTAATCAAATTAAGCATAGCAACTCCCAAAATGAAATGAAAGAAAAAGAAAAAAATATTTATAGTTAAAACAAAAAAAGAAGAAAAAAATACAAAAAAATAAAATAAAAAAATGAAAAACTCAAAATTTGGCTGCGTTTTTGTATACCAACGCGCCAAAAACAAACCAAATTAAAGGCAAGCGAAATATTATACAAATTATATACAAGAAGAAAAAAAATGCAGGCTACTAAAAATGATGTTCGAATGTTGTTATAAAAGGCCAGTGCAGAAGTTCGGAGATAGTCGGCGAGTTGCTAGCAAAAAAACATTAAGAAAATATACAAAGCTAAACAAAAAACAAAAAAAAAGCAACATGCAAAACAACTATTGCAACATAGAAATTATGAATAGAAGTAACACGTAAATATAATATAAAAATAAACGGCTAAAAAGAAAAAAACAAAAAAAAAAAACTTATATTATGTATACATAAATATATTGAAGGAAAACAAATAAAACAAGCAAAAAAATTTTGTAAAAATAACAACGAAAATTGCATTTTAATTTCAAATAATTATCATTCATACCAAATGAATGCTCTTATCAAAACACAAATATTTGTCAAGCCACAGTTAGGCTTGTTGCGGAATTCTGGTTGGTTATGTTAATTTCGAGAGTTGCTGTGGATGTCTGTGTTGGCCTTGTTTTTGTACGCTTTCCGTTAACCAGAAGTCATTGGACAACAGGCTACAACTTGGCAACATACTGATAACCTACCTGCTCTTGAGGTGCTCAGCAAGCAAC